TCTGGGACTTGAAGTCCACAAGTCATGAGGGGGGCCATAGTTCCCCCACGCTGGCTCAGGAATTCTGGGAGTTGAAGTCCACGCGTCATAAAAGAGCCAAGGTTGCCTATCCTTATACTAGGAGAATCCGGGACCGGAAGATCCCCTTTTTGCTGTCCCAGACCAACCTCTCGGCTGTCCCCGGCTCCCCCAGGTACCGGGTGACCCAGGCTGAGCTGTTCGCCCTGCTGTGTCGGCTGGCGGATGAGCTGCTCTTCCGGCAGATCTCCTGGATCAAGAAGCTGCCTTTCTTCTGCGAGCTGTCCATCAAGGACTACACCTGCCTGCTCAGCTCCACCTGGCAGGAGCTGATCCTGCTCTCCTCCCTCACCGTCTACAGCCGGCAGATCTTCGGGGACCTGGCGGACGTCACCACCCAGTATTCGCCCTCCGATGATGAGCTTCACAGGTAAAGGCTGGGGAGGGGTCCTGGGCACTCTCTGAGCGTGGTGGGTTTGGTTGGAAGACGTTTCATTACCCAAGCAGGTAACGTCATCAGTGCTGGGAGGGGAGGGAGGGAGGAGGAGGAGGAGGAACTGTGGGTCTTTGGTTGGAGAAGGCCAGTTAATAAGGGAAAGGAAGGGAATGGAATGGAATATGGAAAGGAATAGGGGAAGGGAAGGAAAAAGGGAAGGAAGGGAATATGGAATAGAATAGAATAGACGAAGAATAGACGAAGAATAGACATAGAATAGAATAGAATAGAATAGAATAGAATAGAATAGAATAGAATAGAATAGAAATTAGGAATAAGGAATAAGGAATAAGGAATAAGGAATAGAATAGAAATAAGGAATAGAATAAAATAGAATAGAATAAGGAAATAGAATAGAATAGAGTAGAATAGAAATAAGGAATAGAATAGAATAGAATAGAATAGAATAGAATAGAATAACGAAATTGGAAGGGACCTTTGTAGGTCATCTAGTCCAACCACCTACTCAAGCAGGAGATCCTCCACCATTTCTGACAGATGGCTGTCCAGTCTTTTCTTGAAAGCTTCCAGTGATGAAGCTCCCACAACTTCTGAAGGCAACTCCTGTTCCATCGGTTGATTGTTCTCACTGTCAGAAAATTCCTACCTACTTCTAGGTTGAATCTCTCGATCAGTTTCCATCTGTTGTTCCGTGTCTGGCCTTCAGGTGCTTTGGAGAATAGATTGACCCCCTCCTCTCTGTGACAGCCCCTCAAATATTGGAACCCTGCTGTCATGTCTCCCCTGGTCCTTCTCTTCACTAGACCAGCCATGCCCAGTTCCTGCAACCGTCCTTCACATGTTTTAGCCTCCAGTCCCCTCATCTTTGTTGCTCTTCTCTGCACTTTTTCTAGAGTCTCAACATCTTTTTTTTATATAGTGTGGAGTCCAAAACTGGATGCAGTAGGAAGGACCCCTCCTTTTTGGGGGGGAATGAGAGTCTTCTAACTTTATGTCGAGATGAAAAGGGGAAAAGATTTTTCTAAGCCACTGGTGGCAACAACGAGCTGGCCATTTTGTGAAGGCATGGGCTACTTCCTTGCCTGCCTGTCCCCGTCTCCCCCAGCCCCCTTTCCAGGGGTGAAGGTCTGTTGATGGTGACCTCAAAGCACCTTTAGGTCTCCCCCCCCCCCCATGCCTGGGTCTGAGGCAAGGGCTGTTTTCTCAGACATAAATTTGCCCCGTCTGACACGTGGGCAGTGGCTCTCCTTGACCCCCTCAGCACATGAATCAACCCGGCATCAGAACATCCCATCTTCGTTTCTGTCACTAAGCCAGACTGTTGGTTAAGCCAGTTTTGGGCCCCCCCTTTCACCATCTTTTTTTTGCTACTGTCGTTAAATAGATCCCTGCCGTCGTTAACTTAGTCACATGGTTGTTAAGTGAATCATCTGGCTTTTCCCCCTTGACTTGGCTCGTCGCAACCTCGGGACGCTGCAACCCGTCATAAATACGAGTCAGTTGCCAAGCGTCTGAATGTTGATCGTGTGAGGTCGTAAGTGTGGAAAAACCCGGTCATAAAGTCACTTTTTTTTTAGTTCCGTCGTAAGTCTGAGCAGTCAGTAAATGAACATCTATGGAGATTCTCCATCTTCCAGGTCCTGGTTGTCCCAAAGATGCTTTTTTTTACGAGGCCACTGGACTTTCTTGTTTTTCTTTGAAGATGTTTCGCTTCTCCTCCAAAAGAAGCTTCTTCAGCTCTGACTGGACGGTGGGCAAATGGAAGGATATATCTTCCTAGCAAGACACAGGAATATAAATGTACAGGAATATAAATCCTTCCATTTCCCCACCCTCCAGTCAAGAGCCGAAGAAGCTCCGTGGAGGAGAAGGGAAACATCTTCAAAGGAAAAACAAGGAAGTCCAGTGGCCTGCCGAAAAAAAACAAAACATCTTTGGGGCAGTCAGTAAACGAGCTGTTGTAAATCAAGGACTGTCTGCATGTGGTGTTTGAAGAGACATCCAGGTGTTCCCCCTGTCCCCTCAAATCATCGCTTCCCCCCCCCATCGTTGTCTGCCCTCCTTCTAATCAGCCAGATGTGAGCATTTCCTTGAACCCCCCCCCCTTGTTCTCCAGGGTCGCCCTCCCCAAAACCATTTGAAAAGTCTCCCCCCCCAAACCCCAATAAAGGAAGACCTCCTCTTTCCAGATGTGGATTCTGCTCTTCACAACAAGCCCCCCCCCCAGTCTCCTGGGACGCTCTGGCCCTGGGGGCCGAGCCCTCCCCCCCCTCTGGGCCGCACATCTGTCTCTCCCACTTTTGGTGTTCTTGGAAACCTTGACCCGCCCTGGGCTTCATCCGC